AGGAGGAGGAAATACAATTCGACCCAAAACAATGGCCAGTTCTGCTTCTTATACAGTGAAGGCAAGGACTCAAGGCCACTGTGGCCGCACACCCCAAAATTCAGACCATCTGCCCTCCCCAGACACAGCCCATCCATCAGCCGTGACCATCCCATTCTCCGAAAAAAGATAGAGCAGCCTAAGAGGAAGAAGCAAGCTGTGTGTGTCCTGTGGAAGCTTCCTGGTTTCCAGACATGTGCTGCATGTGGAGCCAAGCATTAGGTACCTTGGTGAAATAGCCGAATTCCTGGCAAAGCTCGGTAAGATAATAACTCAGAATCCAGCCTCTTCCCTCATCCCTGCTTACCCTGTAGCACAAGGTTTAAAAGAAAACGTTACATGTGGCGCCACCTAGAGGCAGAAGGTGAGAAGAGACACTAAAAAGGAAAGCGGCAGAGCACGGAGCCTGGGCAATCTCAACCCTGCCTTTCTTACCCTTTTATATTTCTTGCCAGTCATTGCCCCAAACTTTCCCTCTCAACTCTGTCCCATGGATTTATGCCATCACACCAGAACAATTAGAAGGCATGCTGCAGGAATGGTTGGGAACATCAAAAGCAAATAAAATTCAAATACCATTTTCATACCTACTTTTCTATGACTCAGCATTTAGAGATTTATTAATTTTTTTTTAAATATAGACAGGGTCTTGCTCTGTTGCCAGTTCACTGTAACCTCAAGCTCCTGGGCTCAAGTGATCCTCCTGCTTCAGTCTCCTGAGTAGCTGGGACTACAGGCGTGTGCCACCATGCCTGGATAATTTTTTATATTTTGTAGAGATGGGGTCTCACTATGTTGACCAGACTGCTCTCAAACTCCTGACCTCAAGTGATCCTCCCACCTTGGCCTCCCAAAGTGCTAGGATTACAGGCAAAAAAAAGTTATTTGTACAAAACTATCATTGACGGCACTCCACTAACCAAGAACAGAAACCTACTCAAAGTATCCCCAAATGAGCTGCTTCTCCAGATTCAAGAGGCAAAAAATGTAATGTCTTAACAGAGTTGGAAATTAACTTTAGTCCATCAATAGATATTTCACAAGGAAACACAACTAGGAAGTAGAGGTAAGGGAGAACATTCAACCTCACTAGATAGTTGTTAAAATATGTAACTGTTTTCAACTATTAAATTAACCAGAAAAAATATTTTTTGAAGATATTTAATATTACCCAACGCTGCCAAAACTAAAATACAGTCACAGTTTTCACACACTGCCAGCGGGAGAGCAAACTGGTGCACATCTTTAGCAAAACAAGTGGGCAGTCTGTGTCCAGTGCCAGAAAAGGCGCCTGCCCTTCAACCCAGTCATTTTATTTCTGAGAATTTAGCCTAAAAAAAAAAAAATTATCAAAACAGGAGGAAAGTTATGTCCACCCTCCTATTCACAACCGTAAATACTGTTTCCAACAGTGGAAAACTGGAAACAAGGAGAATGCCGAATAATGAGTAAATCGATTGTATTATACAAGTTAATGGCATTAAAAATGATAAAGAGAAAAATGTTACCACGTTAAAACGTGCCATGAAGAAAAATCTCAAAATATGAAACTGTATACTCATGGTAATTACAGCTGGGAAAAAGTCCAAATGAAAACTTCCAGGATGCTGACGGTAGATTTGTTTGAGTACAGATTCTAGGTGCAAGTCCTTTGTTTTTCTCCTCCCCTGGCTCCAATTTTTACAACATGTGATTTTATTACTTTTATAGTAAAAAAAAAAAAAAAACTTCCTGTCTTATGAAAATCTTTCTCTGCTGTGGCTACAGGAGTGCTGCTCACTGACACATCCCCCCCCAGGCTCTTCCTTCCTTGCCCTTTGAAAAGGGCAAGAATCTTCTCTCTCTTTTTTTAAAATGTGTTATCTTCCCAACGCCAAAGCTCCACAGGGCACTCGAGGCCAACACCTCTCCGAGGCGAGAACACTGTCACCTTCACTCCTGTCCCCTTAAGTGCCCAGTTGTTCTAAAGAATCAGAGAAAGGGCTCTGGGACCCACGAGCTGGTCTCCTTCCCAGGAAGAAGGCAGCAGGAATTCTACGTGAACCACTTCCAGGGTGTCCTTGAAAAGGCTCAAGCTAATCACCCTGCAGCCCTCGGCCCTGCCCAGCCTGGCTCTGCCTGAAACCGCTGTGTGTTTCTGTCCTCTTGCTATGGGTAAGTTCCTTAATGGATCTTAAACGTTATGATCAGCAGAAGTGAAAAAGCAAGAGAGTTGAACACCCCACAAGAGGAGAATGGTTGGGTTGCACTGTATCTACTTGATGGAACATTAGGCAGCCTCCCAAAACAACTGCGAATGAATGAATAGGACCACAATAAACCGCAGTCTATTCAGGTATTACAAAGAGGGGGATAAGTGTTTCTCTATGCCCTTCCATGATGCATTAATAACAATCTCTAATTACCTCAAATTTGTTTTAGAAAATATAGGATGTGGCCAACAGTCTCTAATGTTAAGTAGAAAAAAGCAGGTAATTCAACCATACGTCCGATCCCATGATGATGACCATATAAAATAGTTCGTGCCAACTGACCAATAATAGTTGACGTTTACAAGCCACTTAAAGTCATGCAGGCACAGTGCTGCGTGCCTTACACACGTTAAAACTTCAACGCTAAGTTCCGATGCTGAGTATCAGAAGCATTACTACTCCCATTTTGGAGAGGAGGAAACTGGGGCACCAGAAGGTTGAAGAATTCTCTTTAATCCTCCCAATGGCTAAGGTTTAGAACATTCTGGTAACTTTCCCAAGATCACATAGTCCCCCTAAGCAGGGAGAAGGGCTTGGATTTGGACATAAATAGTCTTTCTCCAGGGCTCACACCCTCAACTCCAAGGATGGAAGGGAATACATAAGAAATTTAAAATGAAAGTAGAACTTATTTTGGAAAATGAACTTTTTTTTCCTTCTCTTTAGTGTATAAAACTTTATAATCTTCTTCTGTTTTCACAGTTTAAAGACAAAAATGAAAAAAGAAGGGCCACTGAAGAGAGGTGAATGCCTGTGTTTGGGCATACGGTTTTTTAATTATATTTTGATTAAAAAACTAAATAAATGCCAGCCGAGTCTCTACCACACTAAGGTAGAGCTGGAAACGAGGAGAAAAAAATGATGGTGGAACGACAGGAACAAGCCTGTTCCAAACCAAACCAAGCAGCTCCAAGGAGCTGCTGGCAACATTTTTTTTAATATTCTCTCTCCACCACTTCTTCCGGTTTGAGCATGAATTCTAAAATCAGGGGACTGGACTGACAGAGGACACACAATGTCACAGGGTATGCTAATATCACACAGCCACTACTGACAAAGCTGGGAATACCATTTGGGACTCCACTGCTAATCCTACATTCTTTCACAAACTCATCGTGTGCCAAATATTCCCTGGTCAGCTAATGACAATCTGCATTTACTGGAGTTCAAACACACACCATATCCCAAAAATGGTAACTCCGAACACTTGTATGCTGTTTGATAATCTTCAAAACTGGACGAATGATAGCACTCACTTACGCTATCTCATTTGAAACTCGAATTACAAATGCTACATTTCCAGCAATTTTGAAGCCATGCTAGAAACAGGGAAAAGCTGAAATAAACGTAATATTTTGTAAAAATTCTGCAAAAATAAAAATGCATTATATATAATCATATGATTATATATATAATCAATGATCAATTGATCAATTGATATATAATCAATGATCAATTTGGAAAAATCAAAATGAAATATTCCCTTCCCCCACCGCCCCCCAAAAAGACCACACCCCCAATTTTCCCATCCCCAGAACTTCTCCAGAGAGCAGAAGCAGACATCAGGGGTACTGGACCCCTCTGGCAGGCGAAGAGCCAATCTCAGAGCTGGCAGCTTGGTCCAGAGGGTGGGCTCCAAACCCAGTGCTCCTTCCTGTACGTCAATAAACGGCCTCAAATCCCCGTAACAGATATGTGAAAAGTTCAGATGATTATCCTGTCCTCAGCCATTTCCTCAGCTGGCTTCCAGAGAGACAGGCGGCCCAGAGCCAGAACACACAGTTCCCTCGCAGAGAGGCCACGTGGCCTGGTGCCCGAGGCCCGTGGAAGAGCCAAGAACCATCGTCCGGTCACGTGGTCCCAGGGCAGTCACCCATCAGACAACCTGTGCCCACTACTGTCGGGCACGCTTCCCGCACGGTGCCTGGGAGGACGACCACACGGGGCGCCACGGCCAAGTCACTCCACCCCTAAGGGGCAGGGAGCAGGATCACTTCCCCTAACTCACACCCCAGGCGCTGCTTTTCTGTAAATTATCGCTAACCCAAATCTCAGGCGAGTTTCAGGGGCTCGAAACGGGTGAAGAGTTGAATAAGGAGGGTGGAAGGGGGGACCGCAAAGCCCACCAGATCCTGGCGGTGCCCATTGGAAGGAGATGTCCCCAGCAAAGGCCCAGGCTGTATCTATCGGCAGAGAAAAGGGAACAGGGAAAGCAACTTGCTACCTACACGGTACCACCTCGGTGCTGGACCCTTGGCAGGATGCTATACCTCCTTTAACCATCGAGAAAACTCCACAGTGTTCTGCAAGATGGTTACCAGCCCGGGCCTTGGGGTCAGGCGGCCCTGGGTTCCCATGCCAGATCTGTCACTTGCTGGTTGTGAGACCCTGCAGCTACATGACCTCTGGGACTCTCAGGTGGCTCCTATGAAAAGTGTCCCCCAGGGGAGAGTTTAGTAGAGCCCGATGGTAGAATCCCGCTTTCCCAGAGCTGTGGCCCCCCCCACCACCAAGACCCCTGTCTCTGCGCAGACCACACTGCTCGGAGACAGAAGCACAGAGGGGGGAAGGCAGGACCATCGGCCACGGGCCCAAACTTGCAGTAAGCAGAGCGTGCAGGGTGGAAGCCAGCTCAGGCCCTCCTCCCCTCTGCCCCAGGACTGCCCCCACCCCCACCCCCACCCCAGCAAAGGTCCGGGCCACACTCACGACACTCCTTCTCGTCGCTCTTGTCGAAGCAGTCGGGCAGCCCGTCACACTGCCAGGCGCCCGGGATGCACCGCCCGTTGCTGCACATGAAGTTGCCTGGAATGTTGCACTCGTTGGTGAAGTTGTTCCCAGGGAGCAGCTGGCTCTCTGTTGGGGAGAGGGGACAGACAGGTCAGACAGCACAGGGACAGCAGCAAGGACCTCAGCCCTCAACCAACGGAAAGGACTGTTGTTCAGCATATGTGAGACTTCCAGAAGGTGACCTGACCTCCCTGGGCCTCAGTCTCCTCATCTGTGAAATGGGCTGATAATCGGTCCCGCCCCAGCCCTTGGGATTCCGAGAGGAGTAAATGGAGAAATACAAGGAATGCACTTAGCTGTTGGACACAGAAGGGGTGCTCACTGACTTTTTTTTTTTTCTTTTTCCATTCAAAAGACAGGTTATAAAGTCCCAATGTTCCTATCTGGCCACCAGCAATGGTTAAAAAATTAAAGTTCCAGACAGAAGTGAGCACTGGACTCCCAAAATCTCCTACATAGGAGCTGCAGGATCTTTCCAGGCTTGGGCTCTCTGCAGCCCCTACAATCACAGACTCCTTGAATTGGGGCCCAGTTGGCAGGACTACTGAGAGATCATTTCGCTCTAGGAAACACGAGCCCAAATCTACGAAACCGACCTGCCTGAGGTCTCACGGGTAGAAAAGGCCAAGCTGAAACTGGAACTCGGGCCTTTTAATCCCCAAGAAGGCACCATGGCCACGGAACTGCTTGTCAAGAGTTACTGGAGGGTGAGAACCAAGCCCCAATATTCGAATTCAAGGCCACCAAACATGGTCATAAAGAGTCAGGGTCCCCACCCACAACGCCCAGCCCTTAGGCCAGAAAGCAAACACAGCAGGCCAGGACTGTGGCAGTGGGGGGGGGGGGTGAATTCATCCACCTATGGACCCTGGGGGCAGGTTTTCAAGGGAACTAGGATCTGATCGATTTCATCCATCTGAGCCAGTGCGATCAAAGCGCTGGGAGATAAAGAACCATCTGGAAGTAAGAGTCTTTAAAGGACAAAAAAATAAAATAAAATAAAATAAAATAAAAACCCAGTCCCCCAGCACACCATAGCTTCAGAGCTCCCTCCTGAGTCATTCCGTAAGCATTTATTGGCCATTTATGACCAGACACCTGTGCTATATCCTGACGACAGAGGCAAAAGCTAAGGCTCCTTCCTTCAGACTGCGAAGGCACCCGCCATGTAACAAGAACAGGGGTGTCTAGACCTGCCCGGGGGTAACAAGAGCACAGAAGGGCCCACGACCCTCTTTCGCAAGCTTTGCCCAAGAGAAGTGCCTCCAGATCCCGACGTCACGCCCTCTGCCACGCCACCATCCTTTATACGCGCTATTCTTTTCACCCGGGATGCCCTTCGACCTGCCGGGTCTCCTCGTAATGCCCTACACACCCTTCAGCAAACAACTTCTCTGCTGCTTTCCCTCTGAAGTGTTCCCCGGCTTCTCCCAGCACAGATGAGCACTTACTCTGCAGTCTGGTGATGGCATTACTGGGGTGATACTAAAAATACTGTATCACCAGAGCAAGCGGGCAACAACCGATGGGAATGGATGCAGCCATAAGCAAGCACCCCATCAGCCCCAGGGCCACGGAATCTTCCCTGTGGACCATCTGCCACACTGTCCTGAGTTCATCACACACGTGCGTGTCTCCCTGCCGAAACACAGCCTTCACAGCTCACTGGAGAATTCTAGAAGAGAAGCTATAGTGAGGGGCTCCACCCCGCCCCACTGCCCATATCCAAACCCTGGAAATCTCTCTGTCCCCTCCTCTCTGCGTCTCCCCCTAGAGATGGCCAATCTCCAGGTCCCCTCCACCGCGACAGCGACTACTCCACCTCTCTTAGCGGGACTGCTGCCCTGCACAGCCTCCCAACTTGGCCCTCTCCAGTCCATTCTCCCCTGTGTGGCCAGAAGGATCTTTCTCAACAGCAAATCGATCGTGACATTTCCTTGCTTTAAAAGGCCATTGAATGGCTCCCTGGTGTTCTTAAGATAAAGTCAAAATTCAAAGAAATCAAAAAAGGGTCCAGGAAAGAGGTGGCATTTACAGTGGGTGTTGATGGATACACAGAGATGAAGAGCTAAGACCCTTCCAGCCCAGAGAACAGTGTCAACAAAGACTCCATGCAGGAAGGCACAGCCCAGGGCATGGAAGGGCATGGAATAAAAAAATCATTCAGCTCTGATTGTTAGGAAGTGCAAAATGTATTGTGCTACTATTCCTCCTACTCCACTGCCAAGACAGCCATCACTAATCAATCACCGCACTCTGTTCCACTGAGCCCAGAATCAATATCAGAGTCCCTCTCAAGACTAGACTCCAGAAAACCGCCACCAGCCCCAAGAAGAACATGAAACCAATTCCCCATCCCCTGGTGAGGGCTTGAGGGGGAGCCCAGCAGAAGTACAGCCAGGCACTGGATCCCAGCCAGACACCAAATGCTCAACCCAGAAAACCCACACAATTCCAGCTGTTTCGAAACAACTGCTCCAGGCTTCCCCAGCACGCAGAGAAGTCTTCAGGGCTCTGGAATGTAACTGTCATTCTGTTTTGTTTGGAAATCACTTACACTTGCTTTTGTAGCGCTAGCTCCTCGAAGGCAAGCCCCCTGGAAAAGTCACAGCAACTGTGAAGTCTTGTTCTGATAAACAGATTTCCGGAGCCAGAAAATTGGCCAGATTAGATTCCAAAGTGCTCGCTCTGAAAGTCAATAAGGCTGGCGGTGCACGGACTTGACAAATGGGTGGGTGGATGCGGAGACTAAATACCATGTCCGTTACACACAGGTGGTCCTGCCAGCCACGGGGCTCACAGTGCTTTCCTGATGGGACCAAGGATTCTGGGGCCTGGAGAATAATAACAGCAAGCACATTCTTTTTGTTTCTCTGAGCAACTCCATTATGCATGCAGGCGGCACAGTTTAGGGAAGTGACATCATCAAACTGGAAGCATGAGAAGAAATCAAAGCAAAGGCAGGTTAAATCCTGTTGATTCTGGCTTTAGGACTTTCCTCAAACCATCCAGTTTGCCTCACTGAACTGGTACCACCCAATCCAAGCCGCCATTATGTCTTGCCCCCATTCCACCATTGGCGCTCAGTAGGGAACAATTTTGCACCACAGGGAACACATGGCAGCGTCTGGAGACATTTTGGTTGCCATGACTTGGGAGAAGGGAGGGTGCTATTAGCATCCTCCAGCAGGTGGAGGCCAGGAATGTTGCTCTGTATCCTGCAATGCACACGACAGTCCCTGCTCAAGGAACTGTCCAGCCTGAAATGTCAGTCGTGCCTAGGTAGAGACATGCTGGTTCAAAAAAATACCTTCGGATTTTCACTTCTCATGTCCTCCAGTTCCATCTCTTCACATGGAGTGTGATTTTAAAATGCAACCACTGGATTATCTGTGTCCTAAGAATGAATCTAAAACTCGCCGTGGCTTACAAAGCCCAGCGTGATCTAGCCCCTGCCTACCTCTACGACCTCATTTTGAACCATTTCCTGGAACACACCACTGTCCTCCTGCCATGAGGCCCCCAAACATGCTGTTAGCTGACCCCAAACATTTCTCTGCCCACCTTTTATCTGGTGTTATGGACTGAGTTGTGTTCCCCCCAAAAATGTATAAGTCCTAACCCCCTAGTACCTTCAAATGTGACTGCTATGTTTGGAGACAGGGGTCTTTAAAAGGTAATGAAGTTAAAATGAGGGCATTAGGGGGGTCCTAATGCAATATGACTAGCGTTCTTATAAGAAGAGGAGATTAAGACACAGAGAACCATGGGGAGGCACAGGGAGAAGATGCCCATCTACAAGCCAAGGAGAGAGGCCTGCCGACACCTTGATCTCAGACTTCTAGCCTCCAGCATCACGAGAAAAGAGATTTCTGTGGTTTAAGCCACCCAGTCTGCGGTGCTTTGTCATGGCAGCCTGAGTACACTCGTACACCTGGCTAACCTCCCCATTCGTCCTTCAGACCTCAGCTTACATCTCTCGGAGATCTCTTCATCGATATCCAGTCTAAAGCTGGTCCCCCTGCTTGTCACTCTGACAGTGCCCTGTGTTTTCCTTTATCCCACCTTGTGCCTACTGACGTATTTGTGCTCTCTCTCTACTAGACCAAGTGGCCCTGCAGGCAGGGGGGCACTGTTCTGTCCAACTCTGCACCCCGGACACTGGCACTCCATAGGTCTCCACTGAACATCTGTGACCACTCCAAGAAGAAAGCCACATGCTCAGTTACAAATTTATGCCCCACCCCTGTACTCTTCCTTGGAAAGTTCCATCTACCCTTGTCCCATCCCCCTAGAACGTGAGCGGGATCTGTACATATATAGTTAAAATAAGGGACATGGGGGTGTCTGGATTTGTACAAGTAAATTACCACCCTGTCTGCTTTAAAAGAGGTTAGAAATCTTTTCAGGCCGACAGCAGGACTTTCTAGTGGCTGAAATATTTATCCCATCTTAGTGTCTTGGGACACATTTAGAATCCAAAAAAGACAAGCATTAGCACAAAGTTGGCTAGCTGGGCTTTCTCCTCCTCCCTTTTATTTTTTTCATTAAGCTGAAAAATGAAAAAGAGTTGCCCATTTTCACTGCAGCACATCACTTACTTAAAATAACTACACCATCTGCACCAAGAATGAAAAAAAAAAAAAAAAATCCAAGTCCTCCCCCATTGGACAAAGGCGAACAGCCTGCTGCAGTAGCTTCTTCCAAAATTTCTGGCACCCACAAATTTATACTTAATGAGGAGGCCAAAACGAGCAACTACAAAAACTTAGACAGCTGCTGCATTCCACCCAAATCATTCCAGAACACGCACTTAGCGAGGCTGACTTTTCCAGCTGAGAAATGGGAATTCTGTTCTACCAGCTGGAGCCCTCAGGGTTCTGGTCTTCCCTCCCTGGGGGTACTGCCCATCATGATGCAATACAGAATTGACATCTGCAAACCATGACATGTCCCAATTTCAGATTTCTGCCCAATGGCCTTTGTTTTTACTCTTTGCTTCCTGGCAATCCGAGTCCGCAGGCTCGATGAAAAGCAAAAGCAGGACACACACACATACCTATGTA